ACATGCCAGTCCCTACCACTACTTGTATTTGGAGTAATATATTTTTTAAAGGTATACAGAGATGACATCTCTACATCCACTATTGGAAAATTTTTAATACCTTATTTCTCACATTGGTTCAAATATTAAACTATTATAATAGCCGGTTGCAATGGATAAATGATTGCTTAGTATGAGATGAGAAAAATGTGATTTTTTGATTTTCTTATTCTATTTTAAGATTGATCTTCAATTGTAACATTTGTAAAAATAGTTAAGAAATGGGTTAATGAAAACTAGAAAAGGACAGACTTTTGCAATATATGATTTGTATAAATGCAAGAGAGATTATTGTCATTAAAATTTAGCATTGATCTGCCTGGATAAATAAAATTACTGTTTTGTCAAAGTTATTGGTAGATAGTGAAAATCTGAAATCTAAAATTAATTAAGATTTAATCTTAATTAAATCTTTAATCTTAATTAAATCTTAGTCTTTTATTTTTTTCTTTATTGTGCTGGCTAATACTTGCTGTATCTGAAAATATATATGAAAAGTGAGATCATAGATAGATAGATATAATTACTTCTTTATTACTACCACAAGAATAACAATCACTTATAATATTTACTCTACAGTTTTTGGACATATATTATAGAAAAATCCTAAAGACAGACTTTGCATCTTTTCTTTTAAAAGCAAATCTTGGCCAGGTGCAGTGGCTCATGCCTATAATTCCAGTGCTTTGGCAGGCCAAGGTAGGAAGATTGCTTGAGTCCAGGAGCTGGAGACTAGCCTGGACAACATAGTGAGACCCAATTAGGAGGCTGACACAGGAGGATCGCTTAAGCCCAGAAGTTCAACATTGCAGAGAGCTATGATGATGCTGCTGCACACAAACCTAGGCAACAGAGCAAGACCCTGTCTCTAAATATAAATAAATAAATAAATGTAAATTTGACATTACTTATGAATAAAGGTGTTTTTTTGAAAGACCTACAAAATAGTATCATGGTATGCAGTTGATACCATGAGAGTAAATAAAATTATTCACAAAGAGAGCAGACGAAGAGCTCCAGAATGGAGCTGTGAGGAATATGGTTATTTAAAGCAAAGATACAGTAAAACAAATATAAAAATAAGTCTAGGAAGGCATTATTAGAGAGTGACATCAGCAAAAACAGTAGAGTAAGAAAAATACAGGAGAGTAAGGACATCGACAAATTCTCTCCTTCATGAAAGCAACAAGAAAACTGGCAAAAATATAATTGTGAGAATCAAATTTTTCAAAAGTCTGACAGTTAATCAGAGGCTTGTAGTGATTCCTAAAGTTGTTTACTAAAGAAAAGCATCTTTCTCTTAGTAAAAACAGTGGGATTTATGGCATTATAATTTGCTCTATTTCCCACCCCCTCTCTTCAGCTCTGTGGTGACAAAGTAAACCAATAGCCCCAAATTACAGGACAAGTCCACAACCTGGCAGCCACCAGAGGAGACAGCATGGAGTCCGAACTCCTTTAAGGCCTTTTTCTTTAAGAATGATCATTATTTGACTTGTCTGCAGGTTTTCTGGAATACACCATTTGCAAATCTATTTTTCTGTGACCTAACTTGGAGTTCACCCACCGCCAAAAGCCTTTTTCCTGGAGAAGTTTGTTTAAAATATTTAGAGTCAATTTTTTAACTTAACAGATGCCTAAGGCAATCAGTAATAGTGGGGACAAACAATATGCTTAACAAAAATGTTAAATGGAAAAGCATTGGAATGATATGTCCATATGAGTTTGGGAAATCGGCATATATTCCTGGTTATCTGGAAAGCCACACATATGGGCTGAATTTTTTTCTCCCAAAACTCACATGTTGAAGTCCTACCTGCCACTACCTCCAGACGTGACTTTATTCGGAGGTAAGGTTTGTCACCTTACCAAGAGGTAATTAAGGTAAAACAATATGCCCTAATCCGATATGTGTGGTGTGCTTATAAGAAGTTAGAGCAGACACACATACAGAAAAGATCATATGAAAAAATAGAAAGTGGACATCTACAAGCCAACAAGGAGACCCTCAGAGGAAACCAACCCTGCTGACAACTTGACCTTGGACTTTTAGAATTGTGGGGAAGTTAATTTCTGTTGCATTAGCCACCTGTTCGTGATACTATGTCATGGCAGGCCTAGCAAAGTAACACACCCAGGGTTGTGCGCATGCTCAGGAAAGACCTGAAAAGACCCTTAGCTCTCAACTCTGGCTGACTTTTAGGCCTCACACAAGTGAAAGTAAAGTCTAGAGTAATCAACTGCCTGACATAGTGTTGAAGGTATGACCCTATGACACAGAACCCCCAGCAAATACTGAGAGACTTACTGGCTCTAGAAGTTAATAAAATCCATGTTCAATTACTAGCTGATCTCTAAGCTAACCAAGTAGAATGGTCACATATTATAAAGAAAGTAGACTTTACAGAATTAGCTCAGAACAGTCCCTTTAAAAAAAAGCAACAACAACAAACTCTGGGGAGAAAAGACAATATGATTCCCAGAGTTATATTACTTAAAATGTACAGTTTTCAATAAAAGTTATAAGTTTCACAAAGAAACAAAAATGTATGGACCAAACACAGAAAAAATGCAATCAATAGAAGCATGCCTAGGGAAGCAAAGGCATTGCAATTACGAGACAAAGACTTCAAATCAACTATTTTAAGCACATTTAAAGAATTAAAGGAAACCATGTACAAAGAGCTAAAAAGAAAGTATGATAATATCTCACCAAAAAGGAAATTATAAAGAGAGAGAGATTATAAAAAACGAACCAAAGAGTAATTCTGGGGTTGAAAAGAAGCCTGACAGAAATGAAAAATTCACTGGAAGGTTGGTATTAGTTTCCTATGGCAACTGCAACAAATTACCACAAAGAACAGAAATCTATTCTCTAACAGTTCTACAGGCCAGAAGTCTGGAATCAGTTCACTGAGTGAAAATCAAGGTGTGAGTAGGTCCATGCTACCCCCAGAAACTCTGGAGAAGAATCCATTCCTTTTCTCTTCCAACTTCTGGTAGCTGCCAGCATTCATTCGCTGTGGCCGTATCACCCCAATTCCTGTCTCCATGGTAACATTGCCTTCCTTCTTCTGTCTCTCATCAGATATAATTCTGCCTCCTTCTTATAAGGATGAATATCCTTATATGTAGTTGCATATAGAACTGCCCCTGATAATCTAGGATAATCTTCCCACACTCAATGTGAAGGATTGTGATTCAGTATACACAGTCATCTAGTATTTTTAAAAGAGAAGGAGGCAGAGTATTATTGGTTCAGATCAAGGTAAATTGGTATATTTGTTGGTAGGAGGATGTAGAAGTTTATTTTCTGATAATTGAAAAGAGAGATTTTGCAAGGGAAATAAAGAGAATGGTTTAGAAGCAGCACCATGTAGCTACAGAAGCTCTAACGATGCTTTTCCACACTATTCTTGAACTATGGAATATAAACAAATGCTTCTTGATAGGACAGGAAAAACTTACTTAAAATCAGATGGTAGAAGAGAGCTCTAGAGTCATTGAGAAGATAGTTTAAAAAAAAACTTTATTATTATAATAATTTTTTTTTATTAGAATAAACTTCCCAGTGACCACAATGACAGTTTGGTTGAGCAATAATAATCAGAGATAAAGGATCACGAAGCCATATAGAGCCAACAGAATAGGGAGAAAAATGCTTCCATTCTGGAAGAAAGCAAGAATGACAGAATGAGAATCACTGGGGAAAGTGACTCAGAGTGCCCAGAACAGGACAGAACCTCTAGAAACAGGGCAACAGCTAATAGATACTGTGACTTGTGATTCTGTGCTTACAGAAATCTCATTCTCATATTATCACCGAGATTGATGAGATTTTAAAACTGTGCCCATGAATCACTGCATATATCCCTGTGATAGACAACTTAATGATGATGACTCTAAGTCCCAGTTTTACTTCACACTAAAATTCTGGCAGGAGAAATCTAAGGAATTTAATAACTGATCTTGTTATGATCATATGGTGACCCAAATGGTTTGAGATTTGGCAATGTCCTGAGTTGAATGACAGAGCTGGGAGCAAGTGATGATTGATCTTCAAGAAGTGGCAACAGCTTGGACACATCAGTTCCAGAAAGTCAGTTTCACATTCCTGAGCAAAACTCTGTGGATAAAAAGAACCATTTGATCTTAATAAGCAGGCCCAACTTCTGTTGGAGAAGCCTATGTAAGTGAAGACCTGGACAGGAGAAGTAGCCTACACTATGGGTTTCTGGGACAAGTAGTTGGACACAAAGGAAAAAATTTGGATGAAAAGAATATAGGAACACACTACTTTTCCTGGACACAGGTTCTAATATAATATCCAGGTACACATGGTACATTTATGGTAATTTCTCAGTCGTGACACACAAATTTTAGATCTGAACAAAAGATATTGTAGATTAATGATATGTAGGTGAAAGTAGATTGAATTTAACTTGGTGTGTTACCAATTCAGGAAACACTCTAATTGAAGAAAAAAATGTGATTGTTTAACTTTTAGACAGAAGTTTTTTACCGCTAAGAAAAATTCACAAAACCTGAAAGGTGATGTTTTCCCTCAATAAAAGCATTAAGATTGTAGCTCACAGTTGAATTTTCGTATTTTCTTACACCTAAAGCAATAAGGATACATTTGGTTAAAAATTGCTATCAGATATCAGACTTTTGTAAATACAGATTTGAAAGCTTAATATTTTGGAAGTGGCCTTTGTTTTCAGATTTAATACAAAAGAATGCCACCTCTGACAGTTGGACTGAATAGATATGAAACCTTACAAGTATTGACTATAAATCTATAAATGTCTATCTTATTATAATCTTCACTGTGTGATATCTAAAGTCTTATGTTTTGTTGCCAAAGATATTTAGCTTAGCATTGCTATTTTGTATTTCTAGGTAACAATGATTAGAAATGCTCCTTTTTATAAAGTCTGTATTTTTGTTCTTATTTGTAGTTTGGTTGCCACAAAGGAAACAGATAGTGCAAGATCTCGAAGTGCTCCAATGTCACCTTCTGATTTTCTGGATAAATTAATGGGGAGGACATCAGGATATGATGCAAGAATCAGACCCAATTTTAAAGGTAATTGTTCTGTTTGCTACTTTATATGTGTGTTTTAAATATTCTTCAACAAGGTACAATTTTAAATTGATTCCACAAGAAATTCTAATGCTTATTTTCAACAATCTTCCAAATACTGCATTAGTCACAGATGTGTCTTGAAAAAGAAATCCATTCCCATGTTCTCAATTATCATAATTTGCCCTCTTTGGCCTAGCTATGTTTTTTTTTCCTTCGCTAACTGTTACAATACTTCTTGTCTTAACCAATGATTTTAGGAATATACATGTATGTACGTATCTTTAATTTAATTATTCTATCAGTTTTCTAACTAACTGGAATGAAACCTACTTTAATTGCTAGTGATGCACTTTCCCATTTTTAAAATCTGCCACTGTAGTACTCTCTATATTGTGAGGAATCTAACCATTGTTGAATTCACCTATTGGGAAATAGGCTGGATTGCTAACTGAGAGCCTTTGAAATATATAAGACATTATTCCACCTACCAAATGCTTTACCCGAATTTCTAGGAAAGAATGTAATTGTCAATTATTTAAGACTATCACTTTTTATTCTTCTGTTTAATATAATTGCAACTAATATGTTTATATAAGGATATGTAACTTATCCAGAACCACAATATATCCTGTAATTTCACTTTAATGGTAAAATATTAGAAAGCTGCTTCCAGACCCCAACTTATTTAACATGTCCTTGAATATTACTTTACTCAGTAAAGAAAATAAATGAAGTTAAAGAACATACACTTTTTTCATGGGATTCAGTTAAGCTATTTCATTGCTAAAGTTTAAAAAAGTGTTGTCTATAATGACCATTTTTCCTGAATTTGTCCTTATGGAAGAAAAAAAGAATTGCTTAGCAGTGGGTGAAATAATTAACTAGAATGGAGTAAAAAATACCAAGGTTGGGTAGCAGTAGCAAAAGAAGTAAAACTCACTGATAATGTCTGAGTAGAAAATTATGAATGGATTCAATTTTAGAATGAATTTAATATTTAAATTGTGGATCACACTTCTTGATTTGTTTTTAAGCGTTTCAACCATAAATATTTTTAACTTCAGGAGGAAAACACGGAGTACAAGCTGTGCAAAAATAGTACAGCTTATGGGGTACAGTATACAAATGAAAATGAGAAACAAAAATAGTACAGCTTACGGGGTACAATATACAAATAAAAATGAGAAATTTCAGTATTTTAATGATCTTTTCCAAATTGAGGGAAAGCAGTATTCCTGTGAATCCGCTGAGAACTAATTAGTAATTGATCTTGAAAAATATGAAGTTGTCATTTAAATAAACCACAAGAACATAATCAGGAATTAGAGGATTCATTATGGTGAGTCCATATTCAGTGATTCAGAAGTATTGCTGTCTTTTCACTGAAAATTAAAGAAGAAAATACATTCTATTTTTAAATGTCTGTGAATATTTAAAAATCATGTAAGCAGTCTCAGCAGATATTTTAATAAAACTGCAGATAAGTTACTAACCACACAAGAGTGGCCTCAGAGCTTTTGCCGTTCTCTTGGAAAGTTTAGTGTTGGTTTATTATTTTAACAGTTTGAAAGACAATAGAAACATTAAACTATTTTAAAATGTGATTATTACTATTTATATATAAGCTCAGGAAAGGACCCCAAGGATTTGGTGTTGCTTAAAACAAATACTGATTGTTTTCTAAATAAAAATGCATTCCTAAAAATAAGCTGATCACCAAGCCAGATCAGAGGTGATTAGATTTTGGGGGAGACTAAAATTCATGCTTACACCCCAGTGTCACTAAATGAAGAAAAAGAAAAAGAAAAACAGAGATTTTCTCTCATTGTTTTTCAAAATATCTTGTGCTCTAAACATTAGGAAAAAAATGCAGGCTGCATTGAATAACCAAAAATAATATTATCAATTATACAAAAATAATAGTTTAATGGGTTAGTTTTTAGCTAACACTTTTTGCTTTTTCATCTTTTGCAAGGGTCAAACATTATTGACTTCAGCAAACATACTTATAACTCCACTTCCTAATTAAGCATATTCAACTCTGTTTCATTTCATTGGATAAAATAACATGATAATCTTTTGACCATCATTTCATTGCCCAATATTGGAATATAAATAAAATAGTCTTTACATGCCACTTCTTCCTTACGGCTAACAGGAGGATATGTAGGTGCTAACAAACTGAATCCAATACCTAACAGAAGATATTTACACAAAAGAAGGTGAGAATGACCAGCCCTTGTGTTGTCATGTACCGGGGTCCACCTCACCTCAGGCAAAAATAAACTCATCAAACATAGAAGTAGAAAACGAAGAACCTGTTTTCTTGATAATATTTCAATCATTTTTTTTTCTCTGTGGTAGCTCACATGACTAAAAATACAATCCCTTGCCATGCTGCTTTTGTACCTTTCCCCACATCAATGTTTTTGGAAGAAATCTAGTTAGCTTATCAAATGAACTAATTTAAAATTGGTGTTATGTATGCTTTCCCATTCAATTGTCAAAGACAATGAATTAATAGTAAGCAAGTTTAGAGACATGAATGTTAGTAGTATTACATTAAAGTTTTTAAAATAAGCATAATTATCTAAAAGAGTTTTAAAAGAGGAATGGAGGCTTGTGCCTCTAATCCCAGTGTTTTGGGAGGCTGAGGTGGGGGGATTGATTGAGGCTAGGAGTTTGAGACCAGTTCTGAGACACCCATCTCGCCAAAAAAACAAAAACAAAAACAAACAAACAAACAAAAACTAGTCAGGCATAGTGGCACACACCTTTAGTCCTGGCTTCTTGGGAGACTGAGGCAGGAGGATTGCTTGAGCCCAGTTGTTCGAGGTTACAGTGAGCTATGGTTGTGCCACTGCACTCCAGCATGGGTGACAGAGCAAGACTCTATCTCCAAAAAAAGAAGAAGAATGGGAATTGTAATATACTTAAAAATATATTACAATAACCAAAATTATTTGACCCTCACTTCTTCTTAAACACAGAGAAACATAATATACCTAGATAAGTGATCAGTAGATAGAAAAGTGATTATAAAATATGAAAGCATTGGAAAATACCTATATGTTTGCCCTCTCTAGAATTCATAAGTTTTGTAAAAGGCAAACATAAAATTTCACTATGGACATTATCAGACAATTAACAGAAAAGAAATGGAAATGTTTCATCTCATTAGCCAAAAGCAAAGTGTGTAACAATAATATGACATTTTTACCTTTCAAAGATTTAAAAATAAGAAATGTTCCAGTATTATTTAACCGAAATTATAAACACCAAAATATGGTGTTTGTTTCTATTGTTCGGTCACTTCTCTTTAAAAAGTACACTTTAAAAAAATCTCACCTCTTAAAGACTAAATAGTTTAATGTTATTAAAACGTACCACAGAAAAGTATAAATACATAATTCTCTTAAAGCACTTTAAATTGGTATTGACCATGGATAAGACAGCCTCTTCCATTGAACATTATTTAAATCAATACTGAAATAAGTTAAAATAATTAGGTGCTTAACTCATTAACATTATCTTTCCTTTTCACTGATTAATCTGTTCTCTTCCCCTCCGGAGTAGTATCAATTTATCTGAAACATTTTTGAGAATCAGATTTCTCCGATAATGATCCTGTACCTTTAGGATAATTTGACATAAGTATAAAAACTACTTCAAATTTCTGTTATATCTTAATCCTATTAAATATAATGATTTTTAAAACTATTATTTAAAAGGCATTTAATAATGATATATGGGTTTAGAAATGTTCCAAGAGCTGCTAAAAAGAACTAGAAAGTAAAGCTGCAAATATCACTCAACTAGTTGATCATTCAATAGAAATTAGAATTTTGTCCAAGTCATTATTTCAAAAATTTGGTCTTAAGGAGGAGAAATGTTATGTATAGAAATGGTTATTTTTATGTTCACTTTGGCAAAGGTCATTGGTAAGAACAGTGAATTTGCATCTAAGTTTTGATGTTATCAGGGGGTCTTTGTGTTTTTTTTCTTTTACCAACTTCATGTCAAATCGGGTTAGCTTGTTATTGTTTTATCCCATGATATGACTGAGAAAAATATATGACACATTGTAAAGGCAAAAAAAAAAAAAAAGAAAGAAAGAAAAGAAATAGTTATTTTTATTTTGAAAATAAAAATACTAGGTAGATTGCACCATTTTTTCCTCAGAATTTTGAAATCTTTCCTCTTTAGAAGCCTTTTTGGTTAGGGAAAAGAGCAGAAACAGAATTGGCCCAGTGAGAGAAAGTACCACGTCCCCAGGCACAGACTACAGGCCGTGGTGCTCACTGGACATGGTGCTCACTGGACGGCACTGCCTAATGGTGTTACAGAGTTGGAGCGACAGATTAAGAATTAAGGGAAGACTTAATAATCCTTGAAAATGGTAGCTTCTTTATACACACACACACACACATTAAAACTTGAAAACTAAAGAGTAGGATATTCTAGCCTTGTTTCCATTCACTGAAAAACAAAATAAAATAAAATAAATTAAAATAGATTTTCATTTTCAAGACAGGAGTAATGCTTATATATTTTCTGAGTTCTGGTTTTTCTGATTTTCTTAAATTAATACACTTGTTTTAAAGAGCAGTTTTAGGTTTACAGAATAATTGATTGGAAAGTACATATTTGCCCTCTCCTCCTCAACAGTGTACCCTGTTATTGGCATCTTCATATTCATGTGGTGTATTTATTATTATTGATGAACCAAGATTAGTACATTATTATTAACTGAAGTTCATAATTCACATTAGAGTTCATTCTTTGTTCTGTACATTTTTTATGGGTTTTGACAAATTCATAAAAACGTGTGTTTATCATTACTGTATCATACAGAATAATTTCACTGCCCTAAAACGTCCTGCGCTTGCGCTCTGAATATCTCTCTCTCCCACTTCCCCTCATCTACCCCCAGTCTCTGGCAATCAATGATCTTTTCACCGTCTCTAGAGTTTTGCCTTTTCCAGGAAGTCATATAATTA